TTTCCAGACAATAAATAAGAACATGGTTTCTGCTCATAGGATGAAAAGTGCAACTTTGTTTTTCCTGGCTAATAACTTCTGTTTTGTCTCCACACAAACTTGAGCATTTCCATGATGTGTTACTTTTTCTCTATGGCATGCACTTAGAATTCAGAAGAAAATAAATAAGAATTTTAAAGAGAACTCAATTACAGAATATTTTGGGTTGGAAGGGACCTGTGGAGATCATCCAGCCAAAACCCCCCTGCCAAGGAAGGGTCACCTCAAGCAGGTGACACAGGAATGTGTCCATGTGCAGTTGGAATATTTCCAGAGAGGAAGAATCCAGGACCTCCCTAGGTAGATGTTCCAGTGCTCTGCCACCATCATGGAAAATTCTTCCTCTTGCTGAGATGATACTTCTTGTGTTTCATTTCATGGTCATTGCTGCTCCTTCTGTCACTGAGCACTACCAAAAAGAGTCTGGCATCAATTTCTTGGCACCCACATTGGAGATATTTATGTGCATCGATGAGATCCCCTCTCAGGCTTCTCCAGAAGCCCAGCTTCCACAGTCTCTCCTCATTAAAAGAGATACTCCAGACAAGGATGAGTTCATTAATTTCTGTTAACTAATTGCAAAGCTTATGATATTAGGGAAACTACTGTAATTTTTTCAAAGTTGAATTCTCACAGAAGAGCCTATTTTTATCAAAACTCAAACTTTACTGGGAGAAAGCAATTTTAGATCTCTTTTGTTTTCCTGTGTGCCAAAATGACAGTTCAAAATTGTTTCCATCTTGATACATCAAAATGAGATGAAAAATATCATCGTATTTTAAAGTGTATGAGTTTGTTTCTTGTGGGGGGAAAGAAATCATATTCTGATATTTTAAATTTGCGTCATGAAGGGAACAATGAAAAGGCAGCTACATGGAAGGAATTCATTGGACAAAGATTTCCAGGGGAATTTGAAGGAGCTGTGCAGTGGCTCCAAATGAAATTAGGATTCAGAAGCCCTGGGGCTGGCAACTTCTAAAGAGGTTGGGTCTATAAGAGATTCAGGAAACTTGAAGTTTCTTTCTTAGACTGCATTAATCCAAATACAGGAGCAAATACTTCAAACTAATTTCACAGAGCTCTGTGAAGGCAAGCTATTTTCAGACAGATTAATTTGGGCACATAATAGCACCAGAAACACTGTTGGTAAATCAATGACAATGGCAATTACGCTGCCTTGACTCTTGTCACAGTTCACTACCTTTTGTACAACTGCAATATGTCAGTCTCCTCACTAAAACAACTTTCACTGTTCCATGCCTTACTGACCAGAATTGTACTAAATACGGGATGAAAACAATGTCCATGTGGAAGTAAACAAGTGGCTGTGGAAAAACTCCTAATTGTGTTGTTATTATACAATGACATTACCATAGGGAGTAAGAGCATAACAATGGCTTTTGTTTCTCAGAATTAAGCTATGTTCAAGTTTGTTACTATGCTGATATTATGTATCTACAGGTTTTAAAACAAAGGCAGCCTTGCTGGATGGCCAGTGAAATCACTTGTTCCATGCTCTCACTGCGGGATCAAAACATTATCTACCTCAGTTACATAAATGTATCTTACATACCCAACCAGATCCCAACATGAGTACAAAATGATCTTCCCTATTTTGTTTACAAGTTTCTTTGTTTCATTTTCAGTATTAGAGTCCGATTTGAAGTATACATACTCTTCTTAACACCAGCAAATGTCTGCAGCAGCAGGCACACTTACAGAAATGTGTTAAGAGTGTTTCAGAGCCAAATTCACTGCTTCTTAAAAATGTCTGGTTTCTGGATCAAAGTATTGAATCTGGGGACAGCGTAACCTATGAAAATAATGATAAAATATAGTTTACCCAATAATGGCATAAAAATTAACTAGAAAGGAATTTCAACTATTATAGGAAGGAATAAATTCCTTTCTGGTTGCTAATTTATTCCAAAGTAGGATCTGGCACTTCCAGGACAGCTGAAGCCATGGCCTGTTCTGTGCTGTTCCACCGACCTGATGCATGTAAATATGCATCATGTCAGATGTACCATGCTTGCACAAGGAGTGGTGCAACCTTCTGCATCACACTCAGCTGCCCACATTCTCCTAAAACCAGGAACATTTGGTATCAAGCATCTGCAAATGGCATATGTCTACACAACAAGTTATGGCAGAGTGAAAAGATACCCAAAGATACAAATGGGCTGTTCCAAAACCATCACCAGCCCAGCTGCAGCCTTCAGTAGTTCACTGAAACTGAAGTTATCCTTTTTGTTTCCAGACATTTCCTCTGAAAGCTCATAGAAAATCAAAGTGTCTCAGAGACATTTGCTTCAAAACAAACTGTCTCCTCACACAAAGATCAATATAACATAAAGGAAGGAATGAAATCTTGTTTATAGGTACCAAAGACTGAATAGGTATTTCTGTCTTTGCTGTATTTAAGGCACTCTTGCCAAGTTCTGAAAATCAGTTTTCTTCATTACTGGTTTGGGATTGAGGACTTATCATTGCAGGTTTTGTTCTTCTAGCTGGCAGAATCCTCTCTAGGCATCATGGGTCTAGAGATTTTATTGTTCTAGTTCATACCTATTTCACCAAAATGTGAAAGCCTTTGAACATAATTTAAAAAAATATTATGTGATAGTTGGAGTACTGTTTTATTTGTATTTATTTTTGTTGCAGTTTGAAAGGCCAAATAACATTTGAGGTTTTCCATATTAACAAATTCAACACATTTGGCCTGGATAACAAGGAACACAAAATAAGGCTACACTGATTATGGTCTGGCAGATGAAAATGCCTTGAGCTGCCTTCAGCTGGAATAGTAAATGGTTGAATAGCCCAAGGCTGCGTTAAACAAATGACCAGCAAAACCTGTCAGCAGAAGTAAGTTACTTTTATTTTCAAATAATTAAGTATAGCAAAATAAAAATCAGTGGACAGGTATGCAACCTTGTGTTCTTGATATCTTCAAAAGACTCAGTAAAAAAGGATTGAAGAGAGGAAGAAGAAACAATGCATAATCTTCAGAAACATTCAGTAGCAAAACAAAAATTTTGGAAAAAGAATGAAAGAGAGAGTGAAAAGTGATTTTTGTCCAAATGTCAGTCATGTGTTAAGAGAAAATATAATAACAACTGTGCAAACTTCAGTTTATTTTTAACTTCAAGTCTGTGAAGGGGGCAGAAGATCACACTGTGAGATAGAACTGTTTGCTAGGAAAAAAGTTAACAATCAATCTGCAATAATAGTTTTCATGGGTTACAACTGAGAAACTGCTATCCCATTTGCAGCATGTTTTCAAAAAAAATCTCATTATGTCCTTCAGACAGAAGTATTGAACTTAAAACCCAAGACTGAACTCTTGGAGCATATCAAAAAAGTGCAGAAAGGGAAGTAGCATAAAAATGGATGGTTGGATGAACAGGTACACATCTTTCCTTTTGGTCCTTCATGTGTATCCTTCTATGTCAAGTACATACTTTCAGACCAAATGGGATTTCAGTCTGCAGCCTTTCTATCCAGTACATAGTTCACCAGCTGCTGGTTTTTGTTTTAAGGAAGAGCAAACAAATGAGCAGACGCAGAGCAGAATTATGAAATTTTTATTCACTGAGGATAGTGGTCAGCTTAAGATAAGTAATTTTGCATGAGAAAAATCTTGTGTTCGTCTGCGCATCTTAATGCTCCAAAACTGTGAAACACAAGAAAGGATATGCAACCTTGCTTCTTTCATGTTGAATTACCTGTCTGGATGGGGAAAAGCCATTTATTATAGACATTGGTTCTTTGTGTGGAACCCATGAAGTGTTTTTAAAAGAACTAATTAATACTTACTGAGGGCAACATATAATTTGTATCATAATAGCAATAATAGAGAAATAGAAGAAAAAAACTAGAAATTAAAAATAAAATAAAATAAAATAATTATTTTGAGTTGCATTCTATTGAAAGCCTGTGATGATATTTCTAGACTGTATGTTCATGTGTAATTAAAGAAAGTATTTAAAACAGTTAATAAAAAAATATGTTAAACTTCCTTTATTACCCCCCCAGCTTTTGTACTGACTTATTTTCTTGCCACCTACTTTTCACTGTTTATGCCTCTCAGGAATGATGCCTCAAGGTCAAAGTAGTGCAAATTCATACTCACTTCACCACCAGTTTTGCTCCTCCAAGCAGTTCAGAGTAAGCTTCAATTCTGTTTCCAATTTGTCTCTTCTGGGAAGGATGTTGAGTGTCATTTTTTTTTTCTGAGTACTGTGATGTGAAGTAGATATGTGCTGTCATTCTTCTGAGAGATTTGAGGAAACGAAGCAACTGATTTTTAAACCAGACTTCTGCATTTATTACCCATCAACATGAAAGTCACAGGGAAAAAAATGGGAAATTACAAGATATTGCTGTCCTTCAAAAATGCTGAAAATTCAACACACTCATCACAAGAATTTTGCGGTCTCCACCCACTTAGTTGGTGTTTTATGAATTCCTTACTTTTTATTTAATAGCTATTTGGGGCCGATACTGTTTTGCTTATCTTTTGCTAAGTCAGTTGTTTGGTTTGAGCTTTTAAAGAACTTTTTCTCAGGGCACTGTTCATTTATTAGGTGTTAAAATGTTGAAACTTTCAGCAGCTATATGCATAAGGGTGATGGGTGCTTTGCTTTTTTGCATTTAACTCCCCTTCTTTCTCCAGTACATGTTCTTTTAGGCATTTTGTCCTTAAATGACTTCTGCTTCTCTTTCTCTAGGAGACAGCACAAACAGGATTTCCTAATAAATGGAAAATTATGTGAATATGGCCCAACAATTCAAATTCATTCAGTCCAATAGGTAGGAAAATCATCATTATCCAGGGTATTAAAAGTCTGTCTTTTGTCTTCTGTGTCACATAATGAAATGACTCAAAAAAATCAGTGTCAGGAAGGAATCTCATGGGATGTTCATGAATACTGATCTCAATGTTCTTATTTTTTTAACTGATTCCTTTTAACAGCACAGCCTTATGCTCCTTTAAATGTTTTGGACAGAATTTACTCTAAATCATGGCACCTAAAAAGCTAAAAAAGGATAGAAAAAGGGACGTCAGGGAATTGGTAAGCAGCAAGCTCAGCATGAGCCAGCAGCATGCCCTGGCAGCCAAAAAGGCCTCCAGCACCCTAAGCAGCATTAACAGGAGCACAGCCAGCACAGCCCTGCCTGAAAAAAAACCCAAGCATTTATTACTATATTGAGGAAAGAGGAGGGTTGGCAATAGCACAAGACAGCACATTCCACCAGCAATTTGCTTTCTCAAAAAGCCTCCTGGATGTAGATCCCTGTTGTCATGTAAGACACATGCCATGGATCATGTCCTACCTGGTGCTCTGCTTTGCTGTTTCACCTGGTGCAACCTCTGTAGCTGTTGATGGCATTTTAGTTCAAGAGTTAAATAACAAGTCACGTTTACATGGCCATGCTCACACATGTTCTTTACCAACCGAGCTACAAGAGCCATTATGATACAAAAGGCAGTCATTTCTGCTGTTAGCATACTCAGGCAAAAAAAGAAGTTCAGAGTATTGGATCTTACCGATTTTTTATTTAGCTGGATCAGCTTGGATACAATGGGAACAGAAATTTGAATAGGTAGAATGTATAGCAATTGCAATTTCTATGTCTGTTTTTCAGAAATATTAAAAGCATTTCTCATAAATTGAGTATTACATAAAAAATAGTATGAACTGATAAAAGACAGAAAACTTTATCCTCATATAAGAGATTCAGACAGAAATATCATCTTCCTCTGGTTTCCAGCACTGGCTTTTCCAGATAGGATGCATGACTAAGACCCAAAAGGAGCCCAGAAATATTTACACAGGCCAATGATGAGCTCAAAAACCATAGCCTAATCTCTTAAAGAGATGTTAAGATACACCAGCAAGAGTTCCTACCTAAAAAAATATTTTATAGCTTATATTTATATAGCTTATAGCTAAAATTAAACTGAAAAGCTCCAAGGACTGAACTGGAACAACTCTTCAACCCCTACTGGGAGCCATTTCTGGTCATCTGGCTAATTATGATGATAGTACAGAAAGCCCCTGCCTTTTTAATCAAGTGTAAAACTCACAGTACTTTGCAGACATAATTTTCTGGAAAGAAAAGGAAGCACAGTCAGCAGTGATTGCCATTGAAATTAAAGATACAATATGGCAGGAAATATTCTGGCCATTACAAGACATGATGACAGCAAAGATATCTGAAAACTGTCATGAATCCAGGCATGCCATTAAACATATATTTGTAATAAACACAGTGAAACAATTACAATTTTCCATTTTAGAAGTGACAGTATAATTTCTTTTTTTCTTTTCTGCATTGTCAGATTACAAAGTTCATCTTCTCAAACTATTACTTTGCAGTCTGGTTTTGGAGTTAAATCAGAATCTAGTCACAGTGACAATCTCAATACAAAATTTTTTAAAGACCGTTTTAGCAAAGGATCTTAAGCAAATGTTTAGCTTAAAAAAATATTGGAAATCATCATTCTTTCCAAGAAGCTGGAATATATTGTATACATATATATTGAATACATATATTGTAAATGGTTGGAATGGAATATATTGAATACATTGAATATATATATTGTAAAATGGTTTTAAGGAATATATTCTTGCAGACTGACTTCTGCCTCCTAAAGACATGCACATATGGAATGATGTCTTATATAAATACCAGATTTGTGTGCACAGATGCAGCCGTGTGCGTGTCTGCAAGCTCAGATCAGTCTTCAGTTTTCAAAAATTCAGCACTGGAATTTGAGGACCTGATTGAACCTTTCCTATTTCTGCCATGCAGGGTTTCATTTCAGAAATGTTTTTTCCTAGGCCATTGTTCCCCAAACAGGTGTAGTGTTGACATAAATGCCTCTTTGCTCAGGTACATTTCTTTTTTAGGAACAATTCCATGGATGCAATGTCTAATTTGCCCACTACAATCACTGGTGCTGTGAACTAACACCTTGTTCTAAGAACGTGTGGAATGGGATATTGTTTCTGGAACAGCTGGCAGCAACCCAGAGCCCACAGGATTTGAAAAACTCTGAAAAGACTACCCACAAGCTATAATTTTATCCCAGTATACAAAAGCCGCTTCCAGTTCGCACCATTATGAATCCCAGTGCTTCTTGACCTCTTCCTTGTCAGCTCAGATGTTCAGATTGATGTGATTCTATGGATAGAGAGCTGGCTGGTCCATTCCCTTATAGATGGAAGAAAGAATGATTCCATGACTTACATCTGCATGACAGGGCTGGTGATAAGGTAGCGCCTGCACAATCAGGTAAAGAAGTTTCTTATTCTCCTTTCTCCTACATCCCTTTGTGCAGATAATCAAGACAAATCCATTTGATTTAGCTTTCTAGAAAATAGGTTTATTATAAAGCTTGGCCAGGAATACCATATTTTTGTCTATTATTTTTCACATTTCCCCCATTTTTCTTTATCCTCACACTTCTGCTGCTTTTCAGTTTCATAAATCCTAAATACCACACCATAAAAGGAGCTACAAATGTTCATACACACATGATCATTATGTGTGTATGCATTACATGTATTTCTAAGCTAAAAACAGGTGATGCTATTAAATAAGACTAGAAATTTGTACTATAACATTTTCAGGCCAGTAAAGACATGGGGCATTAAAGAAATTCAGTGGACAGGGCTTCAACCTTGCAGCTGGATGAGCAAGATAAATGATAACAAGCTTTAGAGGAAACAAGACTAAACAACAGCCTTCACCAAGGAAAAAATATTCTGAATGGTGTATGTCAACAATGCACAAAGTCACAGAACAGATTATCCAGGAGTTTAACAACAATGAAATTAACTTTAGAATCTCCAGAGCTTTACAAACAACATTATAATAAGAACAAAAAAACCCCACAAAGATAAGGTATTTCTGCCTGCATATAAATGAGCGATGTTATACTACTCCTTTCTTAATGTAGAAGTTATGATTTATTTGTAAAATAAAGATAGAATCCATATTCATGGAAGTGGAAATACTGCTATGCATATTATGAGAGAGAATTTGTTTATTTAAATGGTAAAAAAAAACAACAAAAAAAACACAATCAAAGCTTATGCATGTAAGACATAAATGTACATTGATAACTTCTCAATATACCACATGCATCCAAAACATCTGAATCCAACAGAATAGTCTTTGCTGGTCAACACATCCATCTTTGTGGGAAGATATTTTTGAGTACCAGATCCTGTTGATTCTCATTCTAATGGCATTTCAGGTAAAACTAACTCAAAATTAAACAACAACATCTTTTAATGGTGGATGGTCTTTTAATGCCTCTTATGCGGCCCATGTTAAATCTTTGTTGATCTAAAAATATATATAAATGACAGAACTTGTGACCAACTTCCATGTCCACTGATGAAGCCAAAGACTGTCAGTTTATCATTATTCCCAGAGTACGTTGCCTTCAAAAGCAAAGTACAGGTTGATTAAAACCTATACAAAACCCCCCTTAATTCTTGAGATATAGGTAATTACTCCAGAGCAGACCTGAGATTCAGAAGAACAGAGTACAAAAAAAACCCAAAAAACCCAAAATGTCATTACTTGAGTTCAGTGTACTAATTAAATAGAGAATTATGCTTTCCACATCTGTTAGTCCAGTGCCTTTCAATAGAACATTCAGCTCAGGTCTTGTAGAAAGAAATAGCTACCTTCACAAAATATGGTACTTAATTTCAGAAAAAAAGTGATTCAAATATGTAGAAAAAAATTAACTGTCCATTTGTACAATTATTACCACAGCCCTTAAATTACAATAAACCAAGATTATTTTCAGAAGCTTGACTCTAACTTTGAATTATTTTTTTAATAGTAATCAGATAAAATTTCCAATTTTCCCATCCTTTAATTTGAAATCTGATTTCTTAGCTGTGAGATGGCATTTAAAGTTCTGCCTTTCACCTAGCTCACTAATGTTAGTAGGCTTAAAGTGTTTCAAAATAAAAGAATGATTGTCACTGGAAAATGAGGTTTTTTTGCATAGTCATTTTCCTTCTTATTTGCTAGACTATCTCATTGTGATATGATCACATCTTCTCTTCAAACTTTTCAGGGACACGAGATCATGTTTGTAAATGCTTTCCATTTCAGTGTTGTAAAGCCAAGTCAAAGATTCAGGGATAAAGAGTATGTGGAAGCATAATAACGCTCTCAAGGCACTAAACAACAGCAGGATAAGAGATCTTACAATATTAACTATTTTTCTTCATCCCAGCAGGAATATTTTTTAAAGGACCCATGTTCTAAAAACATACATCTTGAGAGCTTTTCTGGCTGAATTTCTAGTCTTTTCTTTTTTCTCACAAAGGCTCATACAAAAAGAATATTTTCTAGGACACAAAAGAGAATTGAGGACTAAAAACAGTAAATTTTTGACCCTGCAGAAATCTTGCATTACATTTCCAGAAAACCTGCTTTGTAGGAGGTTTTTACTTACCTCATTACATACAAGGAAAGAGGCATCCTTGTTCTGATTTTCATTAGTATCTGAAAACATCACTCAGAAGTTTCTAGCAAAATACACTCTCCTCATCAAATCAGAGTCATAGTTGACATTACTTATGGTTCCCCAGTTATTTACCTAAAATAAAAATTTGGAAATTATTATAAGAAGGTTCTAGCTGAAGATGTGTCCACAGAAGCCTGAAAAAAAGGAAAAAGCAGAAAGTGAAGCAAATCAAAATTAAGTAGACTAAGCAGGTTGCAGTCACAGTGGGTATTTCAGTTCTAGACTGAAAAAAACGTATTAATACTAACATGGATATTGATGGAGACTTACAGGTAATTTCAGTTTTTCTTTGCATAAAAATGGAGATTAGAATAAATCAATTAAAGGGAAGGGAAAATAGTCACAAAAGTAGGTTTACAGTTACTACTGGTTTCCTCTCATAGGTTAAAGAAATCATTAGCTTTGAAAATATTAGAATAGGACACAGTTCAAGTGTAATGGAAAAGAAAATTAATCTCCCAAGAACAAGTTCTGAAAAGTAGTGTTTGCTAAATGTTTCACCACTAGTTTCATTCCCAATACTACAAAATTACATCTAGAATATATCTTATATCTTTATAAGTTGAAGTCATATAATGCTATTAACGAACTTCCTGTACTTTCTTTTATGTATTTTAAAAGCAACAGAAGGAAACAGCTTGCTAATGGAGAAAATAAATTCATCACATTTTTAAGATTTTTCTTCACACACACACACACAAAGACCTCTTATTCCTTTAAATATACTTGGTTTTAGAAAGAAAAAAATCACTAATTTGCATCTGACAGGCACAGATTTCAGGACTTAAAATGTAATCCAGTCTGGGGGTGTATAGAGATCACCACCTCCCTTCTGAGGTGGTCCATGTCACAAAGTCTGGGTAGAGTCCAAACTCTCCCAGAAAGCCCCTGAGGAGAATTCATCCTGTTTAGGAAAGGTTATGTACAGCATGGGATGTTCTCCAAAAAAGAGGCTCCATTTGAGATAAAAATGGAGTCTTTTCTATAACACAAGAGGGAGTAGGATGCACCACTTTGAGCAGTCAATAGATGCTGCTAATTTCTGATTTTTCACCTGTAAGAGCCAACAGATGATTATGTTTCCTTTTATTTCAGAGCAATTTGATTTTTCCAGACTATTTGCCACTTGCTCAGAAGATGAATTGTTGTTGCAGTTCCTTGTTTATGCACCTCTTGGTGGTATCTCTGGGTGCCTTTGGCATCCAGATTCCCACAGTTGTCTTTCACACAGTTTCCAGATATTCTTTTCAAAGAAGTTTCTGATTCACAGAGCTACTTCCAGGCCCCATCTTTCAAGCTGTCATCTTGACATCCCACTGTCACTATTTTTCAGGAGATCCTTTCCCCAATAATTTTACCTATTTAACCAGGCCATCTTATTCCTGCTCACATCAACGTGTTCTATAGGGCTTAGGGTTATCTTTGAAGCATTTTCTGATGTCATCACTACTTATGTAGCCCTAGCAAAGTCTGATCACCTAAAACAATCCAGAAAGACTAAGAGGACAGGAGGGAAAACTGAAAATATTTTAAATTCAAGGTGCACAGATTAAGTAAAAGAAAGTCCTTCTCACATTTGTTAAGCCATTATCAGAGACTTACAAATTTTTCTTTTCCTTTCAGTAAAGACTTAGACCCTTAGCATTTGATACTGAATTTTCATAAATTTGGAAATTGCATTGAACCAGAGGATGGCCTATCAGAAAAAATCTGTGTCAGCAAGTTTGAAGAATGAAACTTTTTTCTTTCTATAATCATCTCAGAGTTAACAGATGCATGTTGACAATTTGCAGACAGAATAAAAGACTAAGGAAATCGAGAAGCAATTGGTCTAACCATGCAGTCATTTACCCAAGCAAGCTATTTCCATTTAAATCAAAAAACATTGCTTACCTGAGCAAGTATTTCCCACCTACATAACAACTTGCAAAAATGGGATCTAAGTCAGCCCAGTAAAGTATTACTTCTGAGCAAAGGGAAAACAGATGAATAATCTTTCAATGAGATAAGCAAAATTTTAACCAAATTTTATATTTGAGAGTATATTAAATGTATCACAGAGTAATCTTCCTGAGGAATCAACATTTGAAATAATCTCTAGGCAACAGAACACTTTCTCCCTGCTGTAGTTATTGTAATGACTGGTTTTTGAGTTGCCATTTGTTTGGACAATTTAATTAAAGAGCTGAGTTTGAAACAAACTTTTCTCCATTGTGAATTCTGTCTAGGATACGATTCTATCCAGTTTTCTTGCCTTGAAAAATCTACTTAGAAACATAGCTGGAATAAACATTTATATACCTTTTCAAGTTTATATAAGCATATAGATGTTCACCTACTGAAGTCTCTAATGCTACATGAAAACCATTTGTATTCAAACAATGAAGTAAGGAGGAATGTAATTCTGAATTTTGGCAAGAATGGTATTTATTTTTTAATAGAATTCCTACAATAGTCACCTAATTAAGAGCTTGCTTGAGATAAAAGGTACTAATATTGAAAATATGGAATCTTAGGAGTTTTAGGCATAGGAACATTATGATAGACTAGCATTGAGGGATGAAAGTATATTCTTTTCGCTGTCTTATTTTCAGGAGGTTCAGAAAACCTGAGGGCTGCTTCTGGCAATTCACCTGGATGCCCTTTTTCCCTTTTATCAGTTTCATTGTGTTTTACAGAAGGTACAATGGCCTGTGGTGGCATAAGATCACCCACAGAGCCTAAATCCGAGTCTAGCAGTGCACAGAATGCACATATGCAAGGCATCAGTCTCAGGAGGGACAGACAATAACTTCTTCAGAATTAGAAGTAGAAAGGCATATTGTGACATTGGCCTACACTGGAGGGGGTAAGAAATGGTATTTTCTTGTGGGAAAACACTCTGAGTCTTCCTGATTTCCATAGGAATTCCCAGTGCTTTTTAGATGGTGTGCTTATACCATCACAGCCTGGTATTTTGGTCAGGTCTTCCCTATATATCAAACCAACCATAACATCAAAGGCAAACGAGAACAAAGAACAGCCTGAAGTGGTGTCACACATACAGGTGGCAACAGATTCCTTTTTGCCTTCTTCATTCCTGTGGGTATTCATCAGGGCCAAGAACAATCTGTTGTTTCTCAGGTTCAGCTACACAGGTTTCTTTATAAAAAACCTCAAACCCTACCTACTTAGAAATAAACCACAGCAAACTAAGTCACCATGAACTTTTTACATCTGTTCAATACATAATAATGAAGTGCAGGCTCATGGAATTCCCTTATTTTGCCAAGTCATTAGTTACATTGGCAAAGATGATTTCAGGGAAAGGCAGTGGTGTTGGACTGAAAATGATGTTCACTCTGTTGTTCTGTTACAGTGTTTTATTATTACCAAAGTAAGTTCCTAAGCCTCAGGTTTCTAGTGTCAGAAAATATACATGGACAAGTGGGATGGAGAAGTGGCTGTTGTTCCTTGGGAAAAGAAGGGTCTTGCTTACATTGCAGAATGAAAGTGTTGAGAGGGAAATTAGGCAAATATCAAACACCATGGAACTTCATGTTAGCAAATTCAGGAGATGTAAAAGTAAGCTGGCAAAATATAAATACCTTAAACAGTTGTGCTTTGCTTGTGAAAGTTCTTGACTTAATTAATGATGCTCCCCAGAAAATCAGGTGTTTGTGATTTTGTGGTAAAAAACCTCATGCATTTTGACTCAGAACACACCCACACACAAATTATAAACAAAAAACAGGTGAGAAAGTGTGAACAAAGCAAAGTGCAGAACAAGGAAACCATGCAGTTGTAGCTGCCACCACCTCATTTAGAAAAATAGGGGTGGAATCCATTGAAAGACATGTGTGAAGGGCAGAGGAGCTGAAAAATTGGCAGGTCTTTAAAGACAAACTTCTCCAAGTACAGGAACAGTCTGCTCAAACTAGTAATATAAATATTAGGCATTATGAGTTGTCATTTCATCTGTAAATTAGTTCTAAAAGAATGGATCATAATTACCTTTGTATTATATAAATAACCAGACTAATCAAGGGAATGACAGAAATATGGAAAAGAAATATTAAATCTCTAAATCTAAAGAAAGGACAGCTATTCCCATTCTACAAGTAAAGAAATGTGGACTTTGGATAATGTTACACTCTGGTTCTTTTCTCTAGAATATTCCCCAACGACACAGTTAAACTCTTCTAGCAGTAAGTCTCCACTCTTTTTATCTGAAGTTTGCTCTCACTGCTGTGTTCTCCACCACCCCCTCGCCCACATCTGAGCTTCTCCACTCTTCCTGTGCTGTTGCTGTGGCCATTGATGCTCTCCCAGCTGCTTGTCCTGGCCCAGTATCCCAGATCCTTGACCGTCACTCCACAGTGTTACACAACACGCTTGCAGGTGAGATGTGTCTCCTCATCCCAGAACCTCCCTTGCACCCACAACCATCTTCCTAAGCAGTTGCATCAAACAAGTTATTTGCACCTCTAAACTAACTAAAATTGACCGTATGCTCTTTCCGATGCAAATATGATTAAATATCTCAGAATGAATCTCCGATCTCCTAGACATGTTGTCTTTCTTTTTTTCAAATGCCTTCCAAAAGTTTTGGGGTTTTTGGGTTTTGATTCATTGACTTTTTAGGTATCTAGTTTAACACTGACAGCTGAGACAAAATTTTTTTAGCACTGGACCCAAGAAAGTCCAGGAGTTGTAAAAGACCTGTTGATATTATATTCTTTCATGGATTTTGTTACTTACATTATTTTGCTATGGGATCTTAGAAAATCAGACTTAAATGGGCACAAGATAAAAAATTCCTATGTGATGGCAATTACAGTATTATTAATAAAATTACATATTCTTATTTAAAGTCCTGGGAAAAGCACTTTGTTCCCTCCATATATTCAATATATAATACATGTTTAGAGAAATATATTTTTATTTCTATAGTTTCAGAATTAAAATGTATCCTCCATCTGAGAAAATTCACTCTAAAGGAATTTATCATTCAAAACAAAAAGCCACACAACAAAACAGCCACAGCAGAACTTTTATGTTGTTTTGAGCTGCTGTCTTTAGATAACAGCAACTTACAGTTACTGTTTAGATAACAGTAACTTACATGAATTAAGATTTGCAGTTTGATTTTTAACCAAAAACAATCTTGGAAGAAACTCTGTGAACTATTTTAAAAAATTTCCTATCACAGAACTCAAGAGAGAAAACAGCATAGAAATTTTGTAAGATGGCTTACACAGGGGGAGGGAAGGGGCTAGGAAGTTAAAGACAGAAGAATAAGGTCTTGTGACTCATAGACCTCTTCCACCAAAACCCTTGTGTTTGATTCATTCAGTTGCCTCTCATCCAAGGAGAAGATAATGTTCCATACTATGCAAGCACTATGAGCCCAACAATAATTCCATTGTCCTAACCAAGCTATTGAGGCAGATGATGACAGCAGGACCAGGAAGGGAATAGTACTGTACATAAATCACAAAAGACTAGCAGAGAAAAACAAATTATTGAGGGATTTGTTGCAAATCCTATGCACTGTGAGGAAAGGATGAAAGCTGGAGTCTTGGAACTGGTTCTGATATTAATGGAAAGGGCAAGAGAGATAGTTACAAGGCAAGAAACAAGGTACTGCAGACGTTCCATCAATGGAGGAACAAGCTTCAAGGAGTAGCAAAAACCAAAAAAAAAAGTTATACAAAGAAATGGAACAGTTCTATGTATAGCATGATAGCTAGAGAGTTTAACAAAGTGTTGGAAGAATAAGTGTTTTTCCCTAAAGCAGAAATGTCAGTGTATCCTCGCTAGACCTAGCTGTGTGCCAAGACCTTCAGCAGTTCCAAGAAAGTGCATGACAGTATACAGTCTATCATTTTAAAGAAGGGATTTTCAATCACTGAGGCCCAATATTATAATCTGAAGGTCAAAAGATTAAAAAAAAAGAAAAAAGAGCATACACTACTGCAGGTAAGAGGTCTGAAAAGGAAACACAGGGAGTGCAGAGAGAAAGAGACAGCACTACATTGATTGTTATGAATTTTCAGTATGAAAACGACAGTAAAGAAACAGCAAATTTATCTTGAGAAGATAAATTCTCTGTGGCAAGTTCTCTGTGGCAAAAGTACTCTACAAGGCAGCAAATAGATGGAAGGTGTATTTGTTTTGAAAAAGTTTACAGCCTAAATATTAACACTGTATTGTGTCAAAAGCAAGTATTGTACAAGTTATATGAGTTAACGGGGAAGGCCACAGATAATTAATTTACTCTGGGTATTAATAAAAGAATATTAATAAATATTCATGTATGCAAATGATTAATATTTAAAAACATGTTATTACCTGCTTAATTATCATAGATTAATCAATGATAATTAACAAGTGATTAATAAATGGATCTCTATAGAATTGAGAGAAAACAAGTTCCTACCTGAAAACAAGAATGTGGACAAGCAAACTTCCCAGAAACAACAGAAAGTACGGAGATGGTGTTTGGCAAGAAATATAATTAAGCCCCAATCCACAGGCAAGTGTGAAGACTGACATCCTTCCAGAGACCCGTGGAGTGGAGAGGGCATGGCAGAAGTCCTGCCAGAACACCAGCAGGGCTGAGATTGCACAGAATGATATCAATAATTCTGAGAGCAGGGCAGTGGAGACCCTTATGCCAACCAAAGCTAAGTGCATTTAAATGTGAAACTCAAACTACATCACCCAAATGGATGTCAAGTGTGCTCAGTGGTACAGTACAGTGGTGACTGCGACTCATTTCTCAAAAAAGGTACAGAGTGTTCAATTTCCAGACAAATTTCTATTAAAAAAGAAAATTATTCAGATTATGCCATAATATCTGCTGAAGCAGCAAAATGGCTTCAGATATTCAAAATAGGTGCAGGTGCACAATTCAAAAGCTTTTCTTTGAGGTGGTACAGATGGTGCTTGGCAAAACCTCTGGCATGGAAGGCCAGGGGTCAGGCAAAGCCAGCTGTGAGCACACAGCAGCCCCAGGGTGCAGGGTACATGGGCATCATGCAAACACCAGCAGGCAAAGCACTGGGTGTTGGAAAGGGGCAGCAGCTGACCAAAATTGCAATTGCTCTGAGGGAAGCACACAGTCCTTAGGGGGCTACACCAGAGAAATTTGCAGCTCTGATGAAGGCACAGAGGACCCTAGGAGTCAGTGCCAAATCAACAGCAGCCAGCTAACACTGCACACCCTCCTTCTGACCAAAAGGAATAAAAAAAAAATGTTCCCTATGTAAAACACAAATCAGGAGGAGAAACCTGAGTGGGTCAAAATCCATTATCTCAGTGGTGGCCATAGCAAACAAAATACAGAAAAGGAATAATATTTTTACACAACTGAGTGTCTTAATAATAAACTGTTGTAGGAATACAGCAGCCACCACTAAGGGCTGCCATGATACGACCATTAAGGTTTTTATTCAGT